CACACACACACACACACACACACACACACACTGCTTTATTTTTCTCTGTGCTTCCCATCCCCCGGGAAGTCGGGTCAAAATTGCGCGCGGAAAATATGCTACTTTCTACTATCCAGAATGAATTCAAAGTTGCAGAGGGAGTCGGCTGTTGAGGAACAGTCTGTTTTCGATTCCCTGAGCCAGGGACCATGAACCGGACAAGAGCGAGTTGCTGAGTAAAGGGTGCGCTCGGAGCAACCAGGGCAGGACTGCATGGCTGGCGGGAGCAGGGGGGGGCGGAGGGGGCAGCTGCGCAGAGCGCGCAGGGTGACCATAACTCCGCCCCCAGCTCGAGGCTCGGAGTGATTGACGCACCGCCACCGTGAAACCGGCGGCGTCGAGGTGAGGCTGGGTGCAGCTCCTGCCGGGGATTGGGTGAGACACCCGCCAGAACTAACTTTTTACACAAAACAGTGTAGGATAGTTACCTTCCTCCCCCCTGCCCCTAACTCTCGTCCTTTCCCTTTTTGGAAAAGTTCGCTCGTAGTCGGCCGGTCTTCCCGATCCCGAGAAATTGTACGGTATAATTAACACAACCTTTAGCTGGCGATACCGCTCTCCGGCCTCTGCGCCCTGGGCGACCACAACAAAGCTGGGAGGGAGTACCGGCCAATTCTCCTTGAATGGCATCTTTCTCCCTCCCTCTCTATCCGGTGCTTCCCAGCTCTAAGTGAGATCCACTTCGGAAGCGCACACTAGTGGCGCGCGCGCGCGCACACACACACACACACACACACACACACTCCCTCCTGGCGACATCAGACAACATCAAACACCCAAACGACTCCTCCCCACTTCCTCCCTCCCAATTCCATCGCGGCCCCCAGAGACTCTCCAGGGTGGCCCTTGTCCGCACCGCTTGGAGACAGTGCGGAGTTAAGCTGATCTCTTCTTGTCCTGAAAAAAAATAAATGTTGACAAGGGCGCTGGATGTGCACAGGGAAGAAAGTACCACTTAAAAATAACAAAAACGAAAACAAACAAAAAAACCTCTAAGCCGGCAGTGGTACGATTTGCACAGCCAGCTGCCCCTGGATGTTAGCAGAAAGTCCTCAGGGGCGCAGTAATCGGCTGGCAGAGGCATAGGGGCCCGCGGAATTAAAAGGAACAAAAGCAAGATCGCCATTCCAATCGTCCCCAACACGACCCCGTTAGGCTTGAGCCTGGTGTGATGGGAAAATGAACTAGAAGTAAGTTTGAAAAAAAAAAAATTTACAAGATCTGAGGCTGTACCGTACTTTCCCTGTGGTTTTCTGCAGTTTTCCTCTCTGCGCTCTCCCTGTCCTCTTCATTCTCTCCCTCTTTCCTCGCTCGCGCGCGCCCGCCCGCATGCGCGCGCCCTCTCGCT